TCAACTCCAGAAAAATAAATGACCCATTTAATGAGTTTTACACGGAATTCTCTTTCAGCTACATCTCCTATGCCAGTTGTATTTTTATTAGCATTGGTCTAGTATATCTTTTGGAGAAGGAAATGGCAACCCACTCCAATATTCTTGCCTAGAGAATCCCGTGAACAGAGGAGCCTAGTGGGCTACTGTGCATAGGGTTGCACAGAATCGGACACGACTGAAGCGACTTAGCATGCATGTATGCACTGGAGAAGGAAATGGCAACCCACTCCAGTATTCTTGCCTGGAGAATCCCAGGGACAGAGGAGCCTGGTGGGCTGCTGTCTATGGGGTCACACAGAGTCAGACACAACTGAACCGACTTGGCGGCGGCAGCAGCAGCAGCAGTATATCTTTTTCCCTACTCTTCAATTTCAAACCTTTTAGAACATTTGTTTTAGATATTTCTTTTTGACTTTCATGTGACTTTAATCCTTTCATATTTATCATGGTTCTTAAATAAGGACTTATTTTTAAAACTTTGTTTTTTGTTTGTCATGCTTTTTTTTTTTTGGTCGTATTTTCTTTTGTTCCATTTTTTTCTTCCCCTGTAGGTTTGATATAATAACCTCTATTTCTACTTTTTCTAGTTGTTGCTCTTAAACATTCAACTGAAAATTTTTATCTGTTTGATGACAATTATCTATCTCTACCTTACCACTGCTGTCACTATAGTAGTATCAGTCTTTTAAAGTCCAATATGATTTGTTCCCCCTAATAGTAATTTTTCCCCTCTAATATGTTTCTATTAGAATCTTTTTCTTGTGGTGCCTATTCTAGTTTTTAGTTCTTCCATGGATATCTCTTTATTTCTCCAATAATGTCAGATTCACTTGTTTTCAGCCACATTTCATATTTCTCTTCTGTTTAAGTTTTTTGTTTGTTCACTGAGTGTGTTTTTTTTCTTTAATGATGTTGGCTTTCATCATATGTTCCTGTTGATTGGGGGTCTAGGTGGGAAATTTCTACATCCTGACACCAAAAGTCTCCTCTAGCTGACATTTAAGAGCTGCTGTTTAACTGTCAGTAATAAATAACCATATTAAAAGAAAAATTAGAAGCATTTAAGTGTAAAAAAATGTAAACAAAATGCTGGTGTTCTTTATTTTGCCTCAAAATTATATTATCAACAAAAAAGTGTCTTTTAAAAAAAGATTATGAGTTTGGGTTATAAAAATGTATCATGATATGATGTACTATTTCCTGTTGTAAAAATAATTCTGAAGCATCTTACCACCTAATAAGAGGAAAATTTAGATTTCTCATATTTTGATTATGATATAGAAGATAGAGGCAGGAGATGTTATAAATATGTTATCATTGGTTGAATGCATGTGTATATATTATGACATATTCCATTATTTGGCAAGCTACAATCTCAAATCTACCATATCTCTGACAATTAGTGACTTTTTTCTAATCAAGAGAATGTGGTATCATCCCAGTTTTAAAGATGCAATACTCAAGTACAAATAACTAATTTGGTCAAGGTTGCACAGAAAGAACCAGAATTTGAAATGAAGATGTCAGACCACAGAGCCCTTTTGTTTTCTCCATGTGGGAGGTCATTTAACCTTTACAAGGAAGGTTAATATGTTTAATTTATAGAAGAGAAGTAGAAAACATCTGGGGATGTGAAGGTTAATTTTTATTTCACTTTACTGATTACCCCCAAAACTGAGCTAACCATCCCTTTTAAAGCTTCCAAAGTCCCACATTGTCCACTTTTGTAGGTCTTCCTAAGGAAAAAAAAATACCAAACAAAAACAACTATATAATTGTTGCCTTTTTATTTGTTTCCCTTTAATGTTGTTCTACCATCTTATTGGGGAATGAGGTAACTGCTGCATTTTTAGTATCAAGTACAGTATCTAACATATAAGAAAATAATAAATATGTATGGAATGAATTAATTTCAATATGTTGCAAGATGGCAGTTAGGGAAGCAAAAATACAAAGATGGCTAGAGTCAGGAAACCTGTGTCCTTCTACTATATCTTCTGCAATCTTAATTTTTTTTTTTTTTTTTTTGCCCTGCTGCATGGCATGTGGATCTTAGTTCCCTGACCCAGGATCAAACTCACGCCCTCTGCAGTGGGAACATGAAGTCTTAACCACTGGACCACCAGAGAACTCCCAGGATATTGTATTAAATGTTGTCAAAGACCCCTTCCAGCTATTACATAAGTAATATTAAAAATCAGATCTTTTTTCATTGGTAAAATTAGAAATCTTTCTTCCCCCAAGTGTATCTTACCCTGATAGGGAGAAAATAGTGCAAGAAAGAGATGCAATTACAAAGCTCATGATCATCTACTTTGTTCTCTTCATGAACATTAATCAAACTGATAGATGAAACAGAAAACACAATTGCACTTAAATATGTCAACATGCATGCATGCTAAGTCGCATCAGTTGTGTCTGACTCTTTGCAACCCTATGGACTACAGACTGCCAGGCTCCTCTGTCCATGGGATTCTCCAGACAAGAGTACTGCAGTGAGTTGGCATGCCCTCCTCCAGGGGGTCTTTCTGACCCAGGGATTGAACCCTCATTTCTTATGTCTCTTGCATTGGCGGGCAAGTTCTTTACCACAAGCACTACCTGGGAAGCCCAAACATGTCAATAGAATACCACAAACATAACCATCAAAGGATTTCTAAGGGCAAGGTTGGCACAAGCTTCGCAAGTAATTTGACCCTCGGAAGGACCCATTTAGGGTGGAACTGAATGTATTCACATCATGGTTCTTACATTGAAAGGACAAGATCCAAAGTTATCTTCCTCACCCTTTCTTGACACACCCAGTGAAGGGAACTTCTGAGGTCATTCAATACATTTGCTGGCTTCCAGGCACTATTTCCAAGGATTATTCCTCTTCTCCTTAAGTATTTACCAGACTCTTTTTTTGCTCTGCCTAATACACATAATTGTTACTCTACAGAACATAATATGCCTCTTAGGGGCTAACATGCTATAGGAAAAATGCTTAAGTACTCAGATTTCAGACTTTTTTAATGACTGGAAAGATTAAAGAGGGAAAATGAAGTCACATAAGAGAATAAAAAACACTCAAAGAAAGCTCAGACTGTCCCTGCAGAGAAAAATGATCCAAGCGATTGAAACGGGATCCCAGTTGCTGGAGTAGTTTTGTACTCAGGTTGGAATCTCATGTGTGTGAATGTCACTTTGCCTGGAAGGTAAAAGTTATAAAACAGGAAAATCTTGCTTAACCAGAAATGTAGCTAATTGGAAACCCCAAATAAGCTCCCAGGGACAGCTCTCTATTCTAGAAGGAAGTAAGTCATGAGAAAAAGTCCACATACACAGTATGGGCTGGCTCAGTCATGCACAAGTCTATGCTCACTCCCTTCCACACACAGCCCTATGTCCTGATACTCTTCTTGACACTACAGACCCCGTGGACTGGAGCCCACTCGGCGCCTCTGTGCATGGGATTTCCCAGGTAAGAACACTGGAGGGGGTAGCCATTCCCTTCTTCAGGGAATCTTCCTGACCCAGAGATCAAACCTAGGTCTCCTGCATTGCAGGCAGAGTCTTTACCACTGAGCCACAAATGGGACTTTTTAAAGATGTCCTGGCACCTTTTAAATTTTGTCTCTGTCCAAAGATTTACTGTGTTCTTTAGAGTCAAAGTATTTTGGGAGGAATGTAGAGTTGGTAAGAAACTTCTTTCAGGTTCAAGCACTTAATGATTTCTTGTGAATCCTTAATTACGCCCAAAAAAGATGTCCCAGAATCCTCTTTATTTCCTCCCATGCAGGTACATGAGACAGAATTTAAAAGGTGTCAGGATATCTTTATAAAATCCCATTGGGTCCTTGGTAGCTCAGTTGGCAAAGAATCCACCTGCAATGCAGGAGACCCGGGTTCGATCCCGGGGTCAGGAAGATCCCCTGGAGGAGCGCATGGCAATTTACTCCAGTATTGTTGCCTGGAGAATCCCCATGGACAAGGAACCTGCAGGGCTACAGTCCATGAGGTCACAAAGAGCTGGACACGATTGAGCAACTCAGCATACATCAGCACAGCATGCATGTGTGTGCTGAGTCACTTCAGTCATGTCAGAGTCTTTTAAACCCTACGGACTGTAGCCCCCCAGGCTTCCCTGTCCGTGGGATCCTCCAGGCAACAGTACTGGAGTAGATTGCCGTGCTCTCCTCCAGGGGATATTCCCAACCCAGGGATTGAACTCACGTCTCTTACCTCTCCTGCATTCGCAGGCAGATGCTTTACCACTTGTGCCACCTGGGAAGCCCTCTTAAGTTCCTCCAGGGACCTTTATTTTAACCCCAAATGTAGTGAAAATAAGATGAAACCAGGATAAATGTAAGTAACAGGTCAATAATGCTTTAATTATGGAGTTTATATTAAAAATTGATATTTGGAACTAACAAAACTCAGTAGTAAAAAAATAATAATAACCAGATTAAAAATGAACTAAGGGCTTAAATAAACATTTCTCAAAAGAAGACATACAAATGGCCAACATGAAAAAATGTTCAACATCATTAATCATCAGGAAATGCCAATCAGAACCCCAGGGAGCGACCAACTCACACCTGTCAGGGTGGCTATTATCAAAAAACAGAAGACTACAAATGTTGGAGAGGAGATGGAGAAACTGGAATCCTTGTATACTGTCAGTGGGGATATGAGGTGGTGTGGTCATGTGGGAAACAGTATAGAGGGTCCTCAAAAAAGAGGACAAGCCCACGATCCAGCAATTCCACAGCTGGGTATTTATCCAAGAAGAACTGAAGCCAGGATCTCCACGAAATATGAGCATTCCCATGTTCATTGCAGCACTGCTTACAAATCCACTCTTTAAGATGTTCTTTTCCACATCCTTGTTTTTACCACCTTTACGACACTTGAATGAAATAATGAGGACAAGGATTATAACTTCGTAGATAAGACGCTGAGGCACAGGGCCCACGATGAATTCCGTTAAAACATCTCATCTTGAGAAACTTCTTGGTGAAGCAGAACTCAGTATAGCACCTCACTCCCGTGTGTATGTTGACAACTTTCCTGTAGTGCTTTATAACCGGAGGAGACACATTTTGAAATGTTTATGAGTAACCAGAAAACTTCTGAAAAAAACTTCTGAAAAAAAAAATGAGGATGCTAATATTCAAATCTGAAACTTGAAAACCAAAACCTTTGAAATATGATGCTGACTCTGAAATGCATGGAATCTTCCTCCTGCCTGAAGTCCTCATCCTGCCTCCTGCAGAGCTGCTGCTGCTCATAGCTGCCAAGGAGATAGGATTTACCATCAGGGTGGGGGCCAGAAGGGAAAATGTTGGGAGGTATTGATTGCAATTAACTTTGCTGCTGATTGGTGGGGGACTCCAGGTGAGCCCAGCTCTTTAGTCAATGGGGAAGACTCAGAGATTAATGGAGCTTGTCAATTGGGTTTGTGGGTTCAGACCCAGAGGGTCACATAACTCCATTTTTCCCACTTTGAAACTGAAATGATCGGGGCATCAGGGAGAGACATTATGAGAGCGAACAGAATGATCAATGCCACTGATCATATTCCCTCCCCTAATCACTGTGGCTGAGCTTGGAGACACAGAGCTCCTTTTATTGACGATCTAAAGTGCAGGGCCTGGGTGCCTTTTGCAATTAAGTATAATTGCAGGACCTGGTTTGCTTCCTTCCGATGCTCTCATTTCTGGCTGCTGTTGATGGAGGCACAGGCTACCCTCTGTCACTGTCATCTCTTCACTAAATAATTTTATGCAGATATCACAGAACTGTTTGAAGCTGCTTGAAGATGCTTGCTCCTTGAAAAGAAAGCCATGACAAACCTAGATAGCATATTAAAAAGCAGTGACATTATTTTGCTGACAAAGGTACATATAGTCAAAGCTATGGTTTTTCCAGTAGCCATGTATGTGAGAGCTGGACCATCAAGAAAACTGAGCACCAAAGAATTGATGCTTTCGAATTGTGGTGCTGGAGAAGACTCTTAAGAGTCTCTTGGACAACAAGGAGATCAAACCAGTCAATCCTAAAAGAAATCAGCCCTGAATACTCACTGGAAGGACTGTTGCTGAAGCTCCAATACTTTAGCCAACTGATGCGAAGAGTCAACACATTGGAAAAGACCCTGATGCTGGGAAAGGTTGAGGGCAGGAGGAGAAGAGGGCAAGGGGGATGAGATGATTGGATGGCATCACTGATTCAATAGACATGAAATCGAGCAAACTCCAGGAGATAGTGGAGGACAGGGAAGCCTGATGTGCTGCAGTCCATGGGGTTGCAAAAAGTCAGACATGAGTTAGTGACTGAACAACAACCCAGAGCTGATGAAATAAGTGCCCCAAGCAGAGGGACAATGTACCTGAGAAGGGTCCTCCTCCCCCCAGATGCTTATGTCACCTTCTGGGTGTGCCTGTGAAACAGGGAGGTTGGTCCCCTTAGAATCGATTGGAAGTCATCTCAGACAGAATTGGGAGATGGCAGATAACTGTGTGTGCTTCTCAAGCCCGCATTTCTACATCACTTAGTAACAAACATCTCCTATTGATTAGATCTGGGAAAGGCCCCTGAGATAAACGCTGGGATTCTCTGAGCTGGTTGAAGAGTAAAGGGAATCAGAGTAGCGATAGTGATGATGAAATTAAAAAGCACAAGTTCCAGAGGTGGAACTCACACAGAGTAAAGGAGCAGTAGAAAATCCTAGGAAATAAAGTTTTTTTGGCAGGTTGATGAATTCACCTTCACTTTAGTCCCATCACCTGGGCCTCCCTTAACGGGCCTTTGTAACAGGGACGCCAGCTCCCTAAATCAATATGTTTTCTCAGGGACTATGGTGCCCTCATAAATCATCATTTGCGTGACATATTTGTGATAATAAATCTACCTTGAAGGGAGAGAGAGAAAGGAAGGTGGTTAACAATAAACCACAGTTCTAAGCTGTGGGGAGAATAATATAAAACCTGGGTTTCTATGGACACACAAATTTGTGTGGCTGCAGTCAAATTAACTGTGCTCTCTCCCCTCAGTGGCTGTGGGCCTGGGTCGGTCCAGAATGAGCTGGTGGAATGACCCTTCGCTTTGGGGTCAGGGGACTGAGGCTTTTCACGTGAGGGAAGATGGCATGAAATAGAAGCTGTAAGAGAGATGACTATGAGCTCATTTTTCTTGGGTCTTCTCAACTGCTTTTCCTAACAGCAGAAAATGGAGCGAGTTTGTTTAGTGGTTTTAGAAAAGGAAGTGATGGGTTACCCAACAAACTAAAAATTTTCTCTTGACCCGCCAATGAAGGTTCAACCAATAGGAACATTCTTACTATGTCTGCATTTGGTTAAGAAGAAGCCAAATGGACAAATGATTTAATGATGATTAAAACATCTCCATAGTTCACCAATCTTATTTGCTGTTTTATGGAATCATAGTTTTATCCTTCCATGCAAAGTGTTTCCCATCAAATGAAGAGAATTAATGAAGATAATAAAGGAAAAAATATGGGCTGTGGAGCCTCACACACTTAAGTCAGAATTCTTATTCCATCTTTTCTTTAATGTGCTCATTAGTTTTCTAATCTCTATCATAGGGAAGAGAGTGACCTCTTTGCCTTGGTTATTGTGAAGCTGAATTGAGGTAATATGTGTTAATTAAAAAAAAAATACAAGAAACAATGACAATACATAGCTCAGAACCAGACACATGCTCTGTGTTCAAAAATGTAAAAATGTTCATTTTCCATTCCATTTTTTAATAAAATCATCTTTATTTTTTTTTAATTTTGTTTCCAGTTTTTTATTCATCTTGTTATTTTTATTTTTATTTATTTTCTATTTTTTAACTATTATTATTTTTGGCCACATCCCATGGCATGTGGGATCTTAGTTCACTGACCAGGGATTACACCAGGGTCCCCTAAAGTAGAAACTCAGAGTCTTGACCACTGGAGTGCTCAGGAAGTCCCTTCTTTCCTTTCTAAATCAGAGGTCACAGTGCTAGAAGGGACTTGAAAGTTCATCTATTCCTCCATCCCTCATTTTGCAAATGGCTAAAAGGCTTTCTCAAAAACTTTAAAGACTTGCTCAAGGTTATAAGTAGTTAACACCCCCAGAAAGAACAGGATAAAGAGCTGAATTTCTAATCCATGCTCTGCTCACACCGCAAATCTTTCCTTTAGAGGGGAGTTGTTGATTTATTTTTCTGTTTACCCAAACTGGTTCATAGTTAAACATTTGAAAAATTGAAAAAATAAAAGCACTTGAATATAGCAAAATTCTGGGGACTTTCCTGGGAGTCCAGTGGTTAAGACTGCACTTCCAGTACAAGAAACTCAGGTTTGATTCCTGCTCAGGGAATTAAGATCCCACATGCCATGTGGCATGGCCAAAAAAAAGAAAAAAAAAAATTTAAAAATAAGATGTAAAATTAAATTGTTTTTAAAAATAAATAAATAAAAATAACAAAAATCACCATAATACCTGCATCCAAAGATGAATGCCATTTTTGCTTTAGTAGAAGAAACTCAGGATTACCCAGCACGAGTTCTAAGAACATCCTTGGGAAAGAAATGGACTTCTTCACATGTGGAAAAAAAGCCAAACCAAAGTCCTTTTTCCCTTTTGGATGAAGGGTCTTCTGCCTTCTATCTCATCCCTTTTTGACAAGGCATCTCTTAAAAAATCATTGCCTTTTTTCACACGTGAAAATAAAAGCAGCTGTCTCTACTATCTTCTTTTCCCGCCAGCCAGCCAGAGAGCAGAGGCCACTTTTGGTCCCAATGCACCACCAGACAGACTGTGCTCAAGTTGGAATTAATAAAAACCTGAGCGATTACTTTACTACATGGTGGAAAACATGCGCTGATTCAATTGCCCGAATGCTTAAATTGTTTGGCCTCATGAAAAGCCAAGTTTAAGATGGGAATGTTTGGCAAGAAGGAATCTCCTGATAAAACGCATGTGTTGAAAAGAAAACGAAAATATAGCAGGAGTGTACACTTTCATTCTGAGCTGGGGGACTCTTAATTTATCTCAATCTATGTGATAAATCAAGCCCCTCTATTGCAATCTTTATGTAAAGAATACTTGGGCCTGATTTTAGAAAATTATAAGATTAAATCATACAATTGTACTCACATAATCCTATCCTGATATGTGTATGTGGGTGTTTCCATGAAAGTGCATGCAGTCAACTTGTAGACGTGCATGCATATATGAACATTGTGTGTTTGTGTTATATTTGACTCCAAGCTGAAAGATGACATTGAAAACTAAGGCACTGTCTGCAGCTATTAATACAAGGGATCTAGGTGGTTGGTGACTATCGTGCCATTGATTGTGGTCTAGACACTGCTCTACTTTATATGTGTAATATCCCTGGTCTTCACAGAAACAGGGTCCTTTGGGGTCAGCTCTATCCCATGTCTCACATGGACCCCACACTTAGACCTGTGTTTCCTACACCTGTGTTTCCTGTTTTTTGCTAATTATTTTCGATCTCTGCATTGCTTGTATTTGCCAAGAGGCTTCTTTGCTTAATTAGGAAAACAAGTTTGGGAAATAGAATTGCAGAGTTTGAGGAAAATTGTCTGCTCATCCGTCACCCTGGCTCCCTACCTCTGGCAGCCCCCTGCTAATATGTGTCCTCTGGAAAGAATATTTTCAAAGAGAGCAGGTAATTAAGGCATTTGGCATTGAGTTCCAAACAGTTTTTCATAGGACAATCGGCTTGAAAGCCTCCCATGTGGCCTAAGGATCATCCACGGCTGTCAAGTAAACTTGAAAATCAAGTTAAAATTGATCTTGAGAAAGAGCATCTTATAATTAGACACGACCATAACAATTGATCTCAATGTCTTCATTTTACAGATGAGAAAACTGAGGTGCAGAGAGGTTACCTGACCCTAAAGAACCAGCCAGTGTCAGAGAGAGTAAAACCAGATGCCAGGTATCCTGAGGTCAGCTATTTGTCTATTTATGGAAAAAGAATAAGATTTGCTTGTCTTTTATTTCCCAGTTATAAAAAGATTTGTATTCAAAATGAACTTAAACTTGTTTAAGAAAAAAACATTTGAATTATGAGCATAACTATATTTAGGAAAATCACTACACAGCCTCAACCTAAAAGATTTAAACAATAGCAAACTACTTAACAATAAATAAAAAGCAACTTAAAATTAAGGAATCCAAAGGGAGAGGAGAAGCTGTGAGGAATGTGGAAGCATGCCATTCATTCATTATTTGCTTTCTTTTAAAAAAAAAATTATTGAAATAAACCTGACTTATAATGCTTTGTTAATTTTTACTGTATAGCAATGTGATTCAGTTATATGTATATATATGTTTTTTTTCATATTATTTTCCATCATGGTTTATCACAGGATATTGAATACCCTGTGCTATACAGTAGGGCTTTATTGTTTATTCATCCTATATATACTAGTTTGCTTCTGCTAACCGCAAGTTCCCAGTCCTTCCCTCCTACATCTCCCCTCCACTTTGGTCACCACACATCTGTTCTCTATGTCTGTGAGTCTGTGTCTGTTTTGTAGATAAGCTCTTTTGTGATACATTATAGATTCCACATTTAAGTGCTATCACGACAAACTGTGGAAAATTCTTCAAGAGATGGGAATAACAGACCGCCTTACTTGCCTCCTAAGAAACCTATATGCAGGTCAAGAAGCAACAGTTAGAACCAGACATGGAACAACAGACTGGTTCCAAAGAGGAAAAGGAGTACCTCAAGATTGTATATTGTCATCCTGCTTACTTAATTTATATGCAGAGTATATCATGAGAAATGCTGGGCTGGGTGAAGCACAAGCTGTAATCAAGATTGCAAGGAAAATACCAATAACCTCAGATATGCAGATGACACCACCCTTATGGCAGGCGGAAAGAGAAGAGGAACTAAAGAGCCTCTTGATGAAGGTGAAAGAAGAGAGTGAAAAAGCTGACTTAAAACACAACATTCAAAAACTAAGATCATGGCATCCCATCATTTCATGGCAAATAGATGGGTGGAAACAGTGACAAACTTTATTTTCTGGGGCTTCAAAATCAATGTAGATGGTGACTGCAGCCACAAAATTAAAAAACGCTTGCTCCTTGGAAGAAAAGCTATGACAAACCTAGATGGCATATTAAAAAGCAGAGACATTACTTTGTCGACAAAGGTCCATCTAGTCAAAGCTATGGTTTTTCCAGTAGTCATGTATGCATGTGAGAGATGGACCATAATATAGAAAGCTGAGTGCTGAAGAACTGATGCTTTTGAACTGTGGTTTTGAAGAAGACTCTTGAGAGTCCCTTGGACTGCAAGGAGATCCAATCAGCCCATCCGAAAGGAAATCAGTCCTGAATATTCATTAAAAGGTCTGATGCTGAATCTGGAGCTCTAATACTTTGTCACCTGATGCGAAGAGCTGACTCATTAGAAAAGACCTGATTGATGCTGGGAAAGATTGAAGGCAGGAGGAGAAGGGGATGACAGAGGATGTGATGGTTGGATGGCATCACTGACTTAATGGACATGAGTTTGAGCAAGCTCTGGGAGTTGGTGATGGACAGGGAAGCCTGGCATGCCGCAGTCCATGGAGTCGCAAAGAGTTGGACATGACTGAGCAACTGAATATATGGAATTTGTCTTTCTCTGTCTGACTTACTTCACTTGGTATGACCATCTCTAGGTCCATCCATGTTGCTGCAGGAACCACTATTTCATTTTTTATAGCTGAGTAATATTCCATTGTATATATGTACCACACCTTCTTTATCCATTCCTCTGTTTTATGAACATTGATTTCCATGTTATAGCTATTGTAAATAGTGCTGTTATGAACATAGCAGCCGTTCATTACTTATTTACTCAGCTACAAGAACCTTTGGTTTGTTGACAATGGAATAAGGATAAATGAAACTGTTCTAAGTCTCTTTGCGCCCTTCAGTATTTCTCCCTACATGTAGCATTGTATTTGTTGTATGCCTTCTCCTCTTAGGGTGTCAGATCCACTCAGACAGGGTTTTATGTTTTGTCAACTATGGAATCCCTAGAGCCTCCTGGGTGCATCAAACAGTAGAAGCTCAATGGACATGTGCTGAATCTCACCGGCGATGATGGAATTGAGCCCTACAGGTGATCAACACATGAAACTGATAGAGTCCCAGCGCTCACAGTTGGTTGACCTTTGATTACAGTTGACCCTTGAACAATGCAGGGGTTATAGGCACCCACTCCCCTACACATCCAAAACCCAAGTCTAACTTTTCACTCCTCCCAAACTTAACTACTCATAGCCTACTCTTGACTGGAAACTTTACGAAAAACATAAATAATCGATTAACACATATTTTGTATGTTATATGTATATCTACACGTATTTTATGCGTTTACAACATACCTAACTTTTTCTTTTTTTGCTATTTCTAGGCTATGCAGTTCATGTAAAGGTTTTTCAAATTGTAGCAAATCTCAAAAACCGTTTCCAGTTCATTTATTGAAAATAAAAACCCACGTATACACGGACCACACAGGTCAGATCCATGTTGTTCAAGAGTCTGCTGGACGTTCGTTGTCCTGTGACTTGCCTTAAGAACTCTGTTAGGGAGTTCTTAGCCCTGGGTGGGTCCTTGGCAGACCCACAACTTGAATTCAGGTGTTCTGGCTCTAGGATTTGGTTCAACGTTCTGGATTCAGGATTTGTTTGGTTCCAGCAATTCTGCCCTAAATGACATTGCCAAGGTCGCACAGGTAATTACCTAATGGCAGAGGCCCTGGTGCAGTCTCTTTCATGGTGGCCCTGGCTCTGATAAATAAGCGGAATAAGTAAAATTTTCCAGAAAATACCCTAGTGAGACAGGCAGCATGAGATCAAAGGAGGCGTTGTTTGAAATGAGTTGATGAAATGGTGATGGCCCCCCAGCTGTATGCATACCACTATCTTAAATATCATTTATTACTAACAGGTAATATCAAGATGTGAAGCTGAGGAAGCAAGTGCTACACACAGTTGCTGAGATGTGTTTTGGTTTGCTTGTATTTTTCATCTCCTACACAAATCCCCAGTTGTAGAATCTGACGTGGCTGAGTGATTCTACCTGGCCAGCGGCAGCTTCCCCAACCTGCTCTGCCAAATGTCTTCCCAAACCAGGTTTTCTGTCCCAGGGAGGGTGGGTGGCAAGTTATTAAAAAAAAAAAAAAGTCTTCACTGTGTCAGTTTTCCCTTGCTGACTTCACATAAACTGCCTCTCTCCTTTGCCTCCAGTCTTTTGAGCAAGCAAGATAAGAGCACTCAATATAGATTATTTTGCATTTGAATTTATAGGGTGATTGATTGGGATAAAAGGATTGTATATTTCCTGTCTGGGCTGCTCTCCTCTTTGGACACCCTCAGATACAAGATGTTACATCTCAAGGAGATTCTCTTCCGAAAATCCGTTAATAAATTTTTGTAAACAGTCATGTTATATAGGCTTGCACGGTCTTTTTATAGTTTGCTGTAAAAGATTTTAGTTGTCTCTTCAATCTTTTCCCTGGTCTTTCCATCTCTAATTTCGAGGTTTAAAAGTTACTTTTGAGAGCCAAAAGAAAACACAGTTAAGTCGAGGATGAAAGAAAGGGAGAGATATGGTCCCGTAAATATAAGTGATTGCCAGATTAGGTCTGACAGAGCTGTTTTCTCTTGCAGAGGCGTTTTACAGTCTTGCTAAATAGAGACACTGCAGTGCATGCCACCTGCGCTTGTGTTTTTATGGGCTCTTGCACTGCAAGCAGGTAAACTTCCCATGCTTTCTGGGGAGCCTCGCCTGTGGCCGCCCAAAGCTGCTCAAGAGCAGTCAGGGGGAGTGTGCCCAGAGGCAAGGGCAGGAGTGAGTTGAATAAGGACCCCAGACCAGTACACTCTGCAACCCCACCCAGAAAGGGGAGCAGACAAGAGTTCAGGAGGGTGGCTCCCAAGGCAGGGACAGCAGCCCCTTCACATCCAGCCACCCTCAGCCTCTGCAGAGAGAGAACCCCTGGGAGGAAATTCAGGGGCCTGGAGAGAGCAGTCCCCGCCCTCCTTCTGAAATCTGTAAGCCATCTGTCTGGAGGCTTCTGCAGGCTGGCACCCCTTCTTTGTGAGAGCCTGAGCAGAGCCCCTGCCCCCAGGCATCCTCTGTGGCCAGGTGGCCCCACGCTGGGGACATTCCATGCTGATGCTTACATGTTTCCTCTGCCCACTTCACAGATGTGACAGTAGGCCTGCGGAGTCTCTGCCCACCATACAAACAGACAGGGGGCAGGGTGGGGGTGAGGGGGGGTGGGCAGGGAAGAATGCAATAGTGGTGGCTGAGCAGAGCTGGCCGTGGCCAGACCTGGAGCCTGTCAATTCCCTTCGCCGTGCTCACGGAGGATGGAGAACTCTGATGAGTGGTCAGTGAACTTGGAGGCCGTCTTCTCTCTTCTGCATTAAGAAATTGACTCTGAGGTTGACTCTGAGAGATCACTTGTTGGGGGGATGGGTAGAGGGTGGCGTGGAGAAAGCTGGGAGAGCCCAGGCACCCCACTCCTAGCCTACTGCCCCTCCCACGGCTTTACTGCTTCTAGAAGGTGGCAGCCTCCCTCGCACCTCGGGAACTATCTTAGATGTCCCCAAGCATACCATACAGCAGAGCCTGAATATAGCAGGTGCTCAATAAATGCTTAGCACATGCATGAATACATAAAAAGGTGGATGGACGGATGACTATAAATGTAAATGAAATGGGATCTTAATGGGATTCTTATCATTCATCGCAGTCACTTCTCAAATAAGCCAAAATAAGTCCCTCTCCTCCCTCACGATCCACATGGAACAAGCAGGTAGCCGCGATACAGATGGCATCGTCTTCATCGACCTGCGGCCAGCGCTGGTCCTTCCCTCAGCAGCTCGTGAGGCGTGCAGAGAAGCAGAAGCCATGGGTAAAGCACCGCAAAAGGAGGAAAACGAAAGGATGCTGTGGTTCCGCGCCATCTGTTCATCATTCGGACGCACAAGACGCTCCAGACTGCCTGCAGCTCCAGTCCTTCCCAGCCAGATTACAAGCGCATTCCAACTGGATACAAGTGCATGCCATCACCAGACATTAGCACGTCTCCCGGGCACTGAACCTGTGCGTTTCCTACCTCGGAGCGTCTGGCGGAACCCCGGTCTCCTCTGGTCTGCGTTGGCCAGTGCCTTCGTGAAGCTGAGACGACGGTATTAGCTGGAACCTGTCTGGAAACCTGTCTGTAATGTGTTCCAGAAGACCCTCTAGAACCCCACTTGATCCCGTCCCTGTCTTATTCAGAACCCTTCTGCAAGTGCCGGCACGAGCACTATAGAACGTGTGCAGAGAGTGAGAAGCACCAGAGATACCCCGCTGTGCTTGTTTCTGTTCGAGAGGCAATAAAACACTAGTGTCCAGATGGTGAGTCTCCCCGGCCTGATTTCCAACCCCCGTTCTGCTGTTCACAGCGATGTGGTCTCAGGAATGTCCCCTGTCCCCGCATGGAGAACAGGGCGGGTGGCAGGACCTGCCTCCTAGGTCGCTGGGGGGGATGCGTTGTGTCCACGCCCAGCAGGGACCAAGCCCTGGACTAGTGTCAGCGGGAGCGCCGCTGTCGTCATCCCATTTCTCTGAGTCGCCTTAGCCAGGTAACAGGGTTTTCCATCCCAGTGATCCCTGGGACTCCCTGCTGCGGCCCAGGGCTCTGTGAAGATGCTGGAACTGTGCATCTGAGAGACTGTTGGCTCCCGGACTCAGGGCTACAGGTGCCCTTGATGTGCCAGGAAATCCATCCCGCTGGCCTGCAAGCCCCCTGCCCCAAGCCGGTATCTTCTTTCCCTCGGTCTCAAGTCCACACTGCCTCTCCAGCCAGGTTCATTCTGCTCCCTGGGAGGCTGGAAGGGGACAAGGCTGACCATTTGTGCAGGACACACAGAATCCTGGGCCTAAAGTTAGCACTTGATTTTGCTTAAAGGCCTTTTAGACTCAAAGACCTATTGGCCCTCATGGGAAACTCTGGTGCAAACTGGGAGAGGAGGGAGTTCTCTCATTTCAGATTTTTCTATGGCTATAAAAAGAAAATACAAACTGATATCTCTAGTCCTGTAAACATTACCTGGGTTAGACCCCAGCCACTTTCTCCAGGGCACACCCACTACACCACTTTGCTGTGCTTCCCGAACACCAGGCATCTGTACCATCAATACCTGTGACACTCTCTACCTTCTCTTCGCTGAGCAGTGAACTCCTGGCCATCCTTCAAAACCCTTTGCAAATGGCCCACCCACTGACATTTCTTCCCAAAGAATGATTTCCTTTCTTCCCCCTAGACTTTCCTCCAAAATTATGGGTAGCCAAAGCAAAAGGCAAGTTCCATAAGTCGTACAACTCTCTTTGCCCAGACAAAATCACTGAGCCTCTGAGAGCAACATTCTCCTGTCTGCAGAGGCTCAAGCTTCTCAGACACCTCTGCACCCAGCACGGACTAGAACAGGAGCCAGTATTTCTGTTCCCTCTGTTCGTAATTTCTACCTGACTAATGTACATCCCTGGCCTCACAAGGCAACTAAAATTGCTGAAGAATTGTCTCTCTTTGTTGCTGCAGATAGCCAGTTCCAAACATTCAATTTTCACAGCGGTGATATTTGCATTCTAAGAAAGGTGACTTCTTCCCCTGGTGTAGCTGATGGATTCTGAGGCCTAGAGAGACTCCCTGAGCCCCACCCCTCCTGGATGCTCTGAGCTAAGCTACCTGAGACAGTTTACAGGGAGGCAGGTAGGAAGCCCTCTGCAAATGTTTGCATCCCTCCCCACCCTCTGGGCAAACAGCAGGGCTACCCTGGCCTCCAGCATTGGGATTGCGCCAGCACTTCAGTGTTCAGGGCCAGGGTGTCTTTGTCTGTTAACAGCCTAATAAAGAAGACCAGGTCTGGGCAGGATTCACGGGAGGGGGAGGTGGTGGTTTTGCCCTGGAGCTCCTGGCCCATCCCAGGCAGGCTTGTTCTGGCTGTTCTCCAGCTGCCTCAACTTGAAAGAAACTTGATGACTTGATGGCTTTTTCTCATCCCGAGGCTCTCATTCCGGCTCAGGAACAGTCAGGCCTCAGGAAAACAACAACAATGTGAACCAAAAGGGTCTTTTGAATCTTTGTTTCCAGCAGTCTGGTAAATTAATGACCCTCCAACAGCTAGACTAAGAACAATCTCCCCCTTTATATGCTGAAATAACCATTTACACCAGGCTCTGAATCCCACTTTCTCCCTTAATCCCTGCCATGACCTTGTGAGCCAGCAAAGGAACTGTGTGCCCATTTCAGAGAGAGGGAAACCAAAGCACTGTCTGGTCAGTTGACTTGTGCAAGGTGACACAGCGTTCATGGAAAAGTTGACAGGAATAAGTAGGTCCTCTAACAGCTCCTGATTTTTTTCTAATTTCACCATGCTGAAATGAGAACAGCTGTCTTCCAGTCTATATAAAGCTGTTTTCTTAAAACATGTTGTAATGGCCATAGTGATAAGTAGTATAAGGTCCTGTTACAAACCAAATATGTCTTTTACATGGCATCTCTTCCTCAGGAGCATTCTAGAAAGTGGATATTAAAACCTTGTAATAACCTGTGATGGAAGAAAATGTTAGAATATGTGTGTGTTGTATAACAGAATCACTTTGCTGTACACCTAAAACTAATGCAACATTGAAAACCAACTATATTTTAAGAACAAATAAAATAAAATCTGCAGGACTTTGAATCTCAAAGAAGTAAAATGACCTGTTGAAGTCAGACCTTCCTGAGGGCAGTGTTCTTTACATCAGCCAAAAGGTGGAGGCATCAGCAGGTGATGGATAAACAATGTGGCTGATACACACAATGGAGTGTTGTTTGATCTTAAAAAGGAAAAAAGTTCCGACAAACGCTATAGCATGGATGAACCTTGACAACACTAGGCTAATGAAGTAAACCAGACACGAAAAGACAGACACTGCACGATTCCACTCCTATGAGTTTCCTAGAGTCATCCGTTCACAGGGACGGGAAGTGTGATGTTGGTGTAGAGGTTGCAAGAGCGGAAATGGGGAATTTTTGTTTAATGAGACCAGAGCTCCTGTTCTGCAAGATGAAAAAGGTTTAGAACATGATAGAGTGATGGTTTGCACAACTGTGTGAATCCACCCTTCGCCACCGAACCGTACATTTAAAAACAGTTGAAATGCTCATTTTTACATTATATATGTTTTACCACAAAAAGTAATGTTGACATTTTTAGAGCGTTTTAGACCAACTCTTCTATGGCCTGAGCGTTTTCTTTGCTTGGGCATGTCTTTGCTCCTGGAAATCCCTGTTCTCTGTCACCGGGTTTCCCAGGCTCACCTCTTCTTCAGCACCCTGCTGAAAGGCTGCCTCCTCTCAAAACCTTTCCTGATGCCCCAGGGTAATCTTTTCTGAACTTGAACCTGAGTTACTCTATGCCACGCTCCTGCCCTGATCCGTCTCATGCCCCTGATTTCCCCAGATCACATTCTTGAGGGTGGAGCCAAGTCTGTAACAGTTTCTAACCTGAAGTGCCCAGCACAGGACCCGGCAGGTAGAAGGTTCTGGATGTCCCACACGGCAGGGGACACAGGAGCAGTTGTTAATTCATCGTCATGTCCTTTTCCACCGTTAACCCCTGGACCAACCAAGCCGGGACTCCTGCTTTGGAAGGCAGATTCTTGACTGCTAAACTGCCAGGGAAGTCCCCAAGTTATTTTTAAATGTCAAGGAGTAAGAAGTCTCAAAAGGACCTCCCCTTGCGGCAAAAAAATGTCTAAAGCTAAAGAGTGTGAAACGCTTGGTTTGAAGCCTGGCAGCCAACCTTGAGAGTCACAAGCTGAGAGCTGGAGCAATTTCAGACTGTGTTTGCGGGGAGGGGGCCCCGAGCCAAGAATGTTGACGGGGCTGGCATGTGAAGGAGGAAAGACAGACCCAGAGAGCAGCTGGAGCAGGGCCGTCCGACAAGCCAACCGGGGAAGCACTGGCCTCCCAGCCGAGAGCCGAGCCCTGCTTTGCTGAGGACCTGATGAGCGGCCGGGACAGCAGGACAAGTTTGCCTGGCTCTGCCCAACCGGCGAGCAGGAGAGCGGGCCTCCGGAATGGTCTAGGGAGTGGGCCTGCCCCGTATGGGTGCTCATCACTTGGCGAATGAGGTGGCTTCCACTTGTGGACCAAAGGCTGTGACTGAGGTTTCTCATGAAGCAAAGAAAAGGGGCCCTGAGAGGACTTCACCTGGCTGGAGGCAGACTCTCTTCCTCTGAGACAGAGCACACGCTGCGATTCTGTGGGAAAACCTTCAGCATATTCAGGGTCCAGCTTTGCAACTGGTCCAGGTCCAAGAGGGGAGCCCGTTCACCACTGGGCTCCTTCAGATGGCATGGAAATGCCTTCATGAATCCATTCCACAAATGTTAACCAGACACCTAAGGCGTCAGGCCCGAATCTGGGCTCTGGGAACACCACACACAGAAATCCAGGTAGCTGGGGAGTTTACAAACCAGTGGGAGAAAATAAACAAGCAAATCAGAGGGTAAACGGGGGTGGAAAGTGCTGGTGAAAATAAAGCAAAGAGAGCAGAGTCCAAATAGGAAGGGGGCAGCTTTAAATGAGGCCTCCCTCCGGTGGAATGTGGTCAGACCTGAAGAAGCGGGGGAGGGGCACGAGACTCCTGGGGAGTGTGTCCTGAGCAAAAGGCGTAGGTAGGAAGGGACCCCAAGCGGTCCACGTGGCCAGCACATTCAGGGGGTACAGAAGACAGAGGCTGGTGAGGCCCGAGCCCCCAGAACATGGGCGGCACCCTCACATGCGAGGTCTGAGATTCATGGGGCAGGTTGTTGGGCTGAGGGCTTTTCCAGAGGGATGGCATTTCGAACAAAAGGGTGGCTTGATGCACCTTGTTTGTTTTTTTATAACTTCATTTATTCATGGCTGAGCTGCGTCTTCACTGCTGCATCAGCTGCCTCCGGTTGCCGTGAGCGTGGGGGGCTCCTCTCCAGCTGCAGTGCCAGGGTTTGTGACCGCGGTGGCTCGTCTTGTTGCAGAGCATGGACTTCAGTAGCTGCGGTGTGTGGGCTCGGAAGTTATGGCTCCCGGGCTTAGTTGCTCCGCGGCACGTGAGATCTTCCCTGATCAGGAATTGAACCCGTGTCTCCCGCACTGGCAGGCAGAGTCTTTATCACAGAGCCAC